AGAACAAAAAATGATATCGATGAAGGACCAATTGCATTCGACACGTAATTACGTAATTTAGAACTGATTAGGTTTTCAGCAAAATCAGTCCCGTAGTTTTTTATGCAGGATGAAAAACTGGAAAAAATGGTGAACTACCTGAATTATGAAATTTATTAATTATATCATTTTTTATACAAAATTACGAGATCTTTTGAAAAATATGAATATTAAATGTTTGTAATAATTGTATAGGAAAATGATGACAATATTTCATAGAAAAAAAAATTTTTTAAAAACAGAATCAGCAATGAAAAAATTTTAAACTTGTATCAGCATTGAGAATACAGCATTAAAGACGCTATAATAGTCAATAATAATTGTTGATAATATGGAATTGAGTTCATAATGATTTAACATTGTTAACGACAAATGATTATTGATCATGATAATATTTAAATAACGAATTTTAAATTCGTATAAATAATAAAAATAGAAATCTATGCAATATATTCGAATTCTTCCAACGCGTAATTTTTTTTTCTACTAAAAAAAAGTCACCAACCGTATGACATAAATAAAAACATACTTTTTTCGTGTATAACAATGAAATTTGTTGTAAATAATGAAAAAAAGGATCTATGAGGTATATTTGAATTCTTCTAACGCACGATTTTTTCTTTTACTGAAATGAAGTAATTAACCATATCAAATGAATAAAAACACACTCATTTCGTTTATAACAATTCCATTTGTTATAAAAAATAGAAACGGGTTTTATTCGAGGTATTTTTTCATTTTTTTCACTGGGAAGTTGGTCGTGTAGACCTTTCGGGTCGCACCCAGACCACTGCAGAGCACTGATATTGAAATTTTAGCAGACTTTTCAAATGATTTGGATGGGCTTGTCAAATTTGCATATTCTTCGGTTTCTTTTGAAGAAAGAGATAGAATTGCTGGTTTGCACTTCATTTCTGGGTTAGAAAAATTAAAGTTACAATTTTTTCTTCGTTCGGAGAGAATTGAGTCTCTTTAATTAGCAACTCAGAGAGCTTTAGAGCTCAAGTCGATTGAAGATTTGACCTTTCAAGGTCAGAATAAAAATAATTTTACTAATAAGAATAATAATAATAATTTTAGTAAAAATAATAATCATAATAATCTCAATAAAAATAATCATTTTTTTGTGTTGACTATCGTAAATTAAACGATGTCACAGTTAAAGATTCAACACCAATTCCACATCATGAAAAACATATTGAATATGGTCCTCGGTGCTCAATGGTTTTTTACCGTTGATTTAAAAAGTGGATATTAGCAAGTTGAAGTTGCTCCGGAAGATAGACCTAAAACTGCTTTTTGTATTTGGAATGAGGTTTGGCAATTCAAGGTTCTTCCTTTTGGTTTATGTAATGCTCCTGCCACCTTCGTTAAACTTATAAACATAGTTTTCAAAGGTCTTCTCGGTAAAATTTGTTTAGTTTATTTGGATGATTTCATTATTTTCAGTACAAGTCTAAATGAACATTTTATTCATCTTCAAAATGTTTTTGAAAGACTTTTACAAGCTTCTCTTAAGATAAATCATAAGAAATATATATTTTTCCAAAAAGAAGTCATTTTCCTTGGACATGTAGTTTCTGGTGACGGATTGAAAATTTCTCCAGATGAAATTTCTGCCATTATTAATTGGCCGCGTGTAAACAGAGTCGCCGGAAGTAACCCTGCACCAGTATGACTGTTAATAGCGGACATAAACACCGACCCAACAAAGTCTTACTTTGTAAGTATTAAGTCGTCGTTTATGTGCGCGTGATTTATGGTGGACTGGAAAGTTTCTCAAGCTGATTAAGTACAGTGTACCAAGTTACAAAAATTTGGTTAGGTGAGGTTGAACATGGAAAAACCTATTTGCCTCCGTTTCGGAGGCAATTACGTCGCCAAATGAGTTCAGAGCGTCATTTCAATATGTTGATACGGAGGCAACAGAGGCATATAGGCGTATTTATATATATATAAGTTATATAAGTATAAACTATAAAGTATAAGGTATATATATATATCAAAATTCAATTTGTTTATATAAACCAATTTCGTCGTTTTATGTACTGGACTGTCATTGTATCGTGTGAACCTATTCATCTTCAGATAAGATAATATTTTTATTAAATTATTATTGATTGAAATAAATATTATCTGATGATCTTTTTTTTCAGCGCAGCGAAATTCCTGGCCCTACTGATCATTTAATGTTCATATTTTTTCAAAGATTTTGAAATTTTGTCTAAAATTATAATTAATAAATTGCAAAATTCAGGTCTTTTTCCATTTTTGCTGGTTTTTTGGTTCTGCAAAAAAAAATGGCTGGACCGATTTTGCTAAAAATCTAATCAGTTCTAAATTACGTAATTACGTGTCGAATGCAATTGGTCCCACATCGATATCATTTTTTGTTCTCGAGATAATCGAGGCGAAAAATAATTCCGAACGCACATACGTACATACGCACACACAGACGTCCACTCGGAAACGATCGTTTTCGACTCTGGGGACCTCAAAACGTGGAGATGTGTCAAAATTCGGGATTCGCAAAATCGGACCTATTACTATTACTTCCCACTGGGAAGTTAATAAAATAAACAAACAATTTTTTTTCAACACAGTGCAAATGTTTTGGTAATTTTATTATAGAAATCTTGAAAATTGTTAGTAAAGAAAGTTCAAAAAATAATCTACTTGATTAATGTTTTGAAATATCATAGATTTCGAGAAAAAGCGCAGAGTAGTGGGAAGACAAGCATTTGGATAGTTTTCTTGACAATTTTTCTGCTGTGGATAACAGTGAAGAGTCTTGTGAAGTACCTTAAAACCAATATAAATCCAGTAGTTTTTGCACAGATACTAAACAATCATGTGATAGAGACCTTATTAAAGATGAAAGTGACGTTGATTGTGATAAAAATAATAATAAGAAAGTATTCATTAGAAAAAATGGAACTGAGTAGTCTTCTGAAGTGCCTAATCAGTAGAAAAAAAGTGGGCAAACATAATATTTGTTCAAGATTACCAAAAATTTAAAGGATGTTGCAAATTAAGACAATATGCACTCAATAAACCATCGATTCTCGAACATTTTATCTACAAAATATGGAAATATATGCTGATAAGCAGCAGTATACGATTCGACGTTTAGAAATAAAATGTGTGTACACAGAAGTAAGTTTTGACTTACTGTTATGTAAAAATCATTTCTGGATACACACATTTTTACTTCCATTGCATTGGTTAAAGATTTTTTAAATAATTATATCACAACTTGTGTTAATACAATTAGAGCTAACAAACGTGAAATCCCTCTGGAGTTGATGAATATAAAAGAGACCAGTGAATAGTTCCAAATGCGCTTTTCAAGATAACTTTGATCTCTTACGTATCAAAGAAAAAAAAGACATACTACTCATACCAACACTGCACAATGATGATGCCATTGGTCCAAAAACTGGTCTCAGAATGAAGCTAGAAATATTGACTTTTTATAATTTAACAAAAGAAGAAGTGGACGTTGTCGACGAATTGAAGTCTAATTACAAGACAGCCAGAGGTACTTACAAGTGGTCTATTGTGGTTTTTTTATAGCTTTTTCAATATTGCCGGAATCAATGGTCAAATCGTTTATACGCGCAACACTGGAATAAAATGTAGCAGGCGTGAATTTTTGAAAAAATTAACAACTGGGTTGTTTCATCCTCATTTAGTCACACAAAGTCAATTACGGAATTTATCTACGGAATTGCGCAATATTATTTTAACAGTCGGTAGTATACATGGGATAGATAAAACTGATACCGATGATGAAGAGGTTAAAAGATGTCACTGCCCGAAAAGAAATGGCATAAAAGAGAAAAGTCTTGCTCAAAATGTTCCTGCCAAATCTGTCCTAAGCATACAGTATTATACTGCTTCGACTGTAGAGCCAAAATTAAAATATAATGCATATTAATATTAAAATAATTTTGATTTAGTCTTTAAATATTGTGTAACGTACTATTATTAATATATCACGTTGTTTACGTGTATTCATTGAAGGATTGAAAAGACTAAAATAAATGTTTTATAATTTATAAGTTTATAGACATGTGAGTATTTTAAGGGGCAGCCATAATGAGCACATAAGGTTTTTCACACAATCAAAAACTTAAGCCGTAAGATGTACAATTTAAGACGTACGCGTGCGCACTAACATCATAATAAGTCGAAAATTAGTTGTTGCGAATGCGTACGTCTGGGATTGTACAAAACCACAGTTTTTCTTTGAACACTGTGAGCAGGAGGCCCCCTCAGAGGAGTGTCTGTATTAGTACAGGTTTCCAGCAGTTCTTCTGTGCTTATCAATGCAAATGCAATATCGTTCCGGTAAGTGATAGGGTTGTAAGTCAGCCACTGCCGCAACCTTGGATTTCACACGGTAGTGTCCCCTTGGTGGATAGGAATTAATTGTAGTGAAGTAGAGTGCGGACGTATGAAAAGTATATAATGGAGTATATAATAAATCTAAGTAACTATAAAATATTACGATATTTTTTTGTACATACCCACACTGCAAATCGAAAATCCTGTCACACATGTTTGAAATCCACACATTCCTTGTGTAACGCCATAAATGAATTATAGAAATTTTGTAGACACTTTTCACACATAATAGTGTGTAAAAAATTGACACACGTAGTATGGTTTGTCATTGGTGTTATATATGTAACACATATCGAATGAATGATGTTAACACGTGTGCCAATCATTTTGCAATGCACACTCAGGGTAAAAGTTAAAACACAAAATGTTAGTTCATGTTATTTTACAACAAAAGTTTAAATTTCGAAAAGCTCTACGTTTGGAACTTGGCAGAATCGATTTCGAATATTAAAAAAATTTAAGCTACTTTTACAGATGTTTTTTGATTTTTTTTATCATCAAATGATTGAATAGAAAAGAAAAAACACTTTATTAAACCATTTATTCGTAAGAAAATGTCATTTATTTATGTAATTTTTCGATAATAGTTAAATTTTAGATTGGTTTTTTAGAAAACTGACATTGAAAAGATTCGCCGGAACAATATTTTAATCATAACATTCAAAATTTATTAATAACAAATAAATAAAAAATTTCTACTCATAATTTTAATTTTAACTTGAGTTTAAATTCCATTCATTACATAAGAATTAAAATTGAAACTTTATTTTTATGATTCCGATGTTTTGAGTCTCCGTAATTTTTTTCCTTCATCAATATCATCAAATTCAATGATTTCTCTTATTTTTTGTGCCACAATCGCTACATTTGTTTCGATTTCATCGATTTCTTTAGAAAGTTCCAATGCATCTGATGGGCTCAGAAAATCCACGTCATCGAGAGCTTTCCCATTCTCTTCTAAGAATTTTTGGAACTGTATAAATGAAAGGATTATTGATATTTTTAATGAGACACTTGGGAGTATACTATGTGTATATTAGTTTGTCTCTTTTTCCACAAATATAAGCTTATCAATAAATTCAACAAGAATTTAATATTACAATATTTCCATTTTAGTTTCTGTTACAGTTGGAAACGTAAGATACACCTATTGTTTTACAGACAAAAACTGAAACAAAAGTCTAGAACAATTCTCAAATCATCAATGACTGCTTTGGTGGTCAATTGTCTCATGTAAAAAGAAGGTCACAGATAGGCACTAAGAGGTTCTAAGCTTCAAATGTTCCAAATTTGGGCCTAAAACTCAACGTTATTATTCTTAACTCGATGTATACTATCTAAGTAAGCAATACCGATTTAAAGTAACCTTTAGTATGATCACACTGATGTTGAATTCTTAAAATAATCAAATACAAATTAAACTCACTCGTAATAGTCCTTTTAAACTATCTCAAAGTAATTAAGATTTAGCATTTCACGTGATAAAAGATACTTTCTATCATTCTGAGTTATGTATTTTTTGGAATACCAAATATTATAATGTGTAGCATGGTCATTAGGCGTAAAATCATTTACTTTTTTAAATCGGTGTATCAAGAAGATAGATTAAGTTTCGAAAAATTATCCACCATGCCTCAATAAATTTTTTTCTTCGTAAAATTCAATTGGAAGTTTATTAATAAAAAATTCTATTATATACCTTTTTGAGTTGATTTTCAGTTTTAATGCCATAAATTGCCATATTCGCTATCAAGAGTAAAATATTACCATCTTCATCTTGATCATAGCTAAAAAATAATATAAATTCATTAGGAAAGTAAAAATGATCAAATATTAGTAAGATAAGAAAACTATTACTATTTTTTAATGTTGTCAAAGTATCCAATAACATAATCGATAGCATAATTAACATCATCACTACGACTTTTAAAGAAAGCTTCAAACATTCCATTTATTTGATCAGGTGTAACCTTCGATCCTTCTTGCATGGTTCGAGCAATATATTTATCACGCTGTTTTTTCGAGGGTAAGCATTTAATAAAATTGTACTTGGAATTTTTCATACTTTTCGTCATAGGCATATCAGTAGTCATGAATTTATCCCATACAGATTCATTTGACTCTCGAAGTCCAGCACATACGATCCATTCCCAATCGGTAGATGGGAATCTAAAAAAAAAATCAAATATGCAAAAACAAAATTTTCTTTTTACCATAGATTATGGATGTTAGGATTATCAGAACTTACGCATTTTCAGATGGATTTTCCAAATAAGTATCAAATAGGCGATGAGCAAATGCGATACAATCAGCATGTTCGTATGCACATACTAAAGGAGCAAGCATACTTCTTATTTTGACCGCAGAATGTTCATCTCCTTCACGATGTTCAAATCCAAGATGTTCAGTTATTTCGTTTGTAACAACGAGTAAAAACAGCCCAAAGATATCCTCTTCATGTGAATTACGCATACCAGAGGTAAATCGTTGTATCATTTTCCCTGCTGGTATCCACACAACATAATCTCGTTCTTGATGTAAATATAGTGTCAAAAGAATTAATTTATCTATTTTTGACTCATCTGCAAATCTTTCAAAAATGTCTTCAATCAATTGTGCACGATTAACTGGATGTATTTTTTTGAAATCATCAGAATGAAGATATCCTATAAGTTTGTCCCAATTTTCTCCATCATAGTCAACTCGATAAAATCCTAAATTAAAAGTAAACTATATTAAAATGTTAGCAAAAAAATAAAAAATAGCGATATGATTACAGCAAGCCGTTGGAAATGAACTTTTTCAGATTTTATTTAATATTTTGTGTATTTTTTTATAAACCTTATTAAGAAGATTTATATTAGATAGATCAAATTTGTTTCTACATGATCATCCATAAATTTATATCTCTGAGGTATAAATTTTATATATGTCTACTGATAGATGTCTACTGATAGATAATGCCAAAAATTGTACATAAATTACCACGATACATACCATATACGATCATTCATAGTATCATCGTGGATGTGTTTGTGCGAGGTTGTACCAGATTATGAATGATAAGAGACTTATGTGCAATCATTTGTATGCATATGCCTCATAATTTTTAAAGAAAAGATTGAATAAATAGAAGTGTTTAAGAACACAGCATCATGCTTAAATTGGATACTTTATACATGACCACAATTGACCGAACTCAAGTTTAGTTTTATCTTAATTAGATTTAATGAAATCGGAAGAGAAGTCCAAGTGCACTTCGTGCCTAGACAAAAAACTAATGACTGATAATATTTTTGTTTTTTTTTTATTCAATTAAGTTAAGAAAAAGTAATCAATAATTTATGACATATTGCAATTATTTGATTTTTGAATTTTTTCACCTCTTAAAGTATATCGATTCATACTAACGAATATTGATAAGGGTGTAGGTATCTTCAAACACATGGCAAGTATATTTTTGTGCACGAAATGTCTCGAATGAATAAAGTTACCAACTTTGTACAAATTTTTAACAATGATATATCGTAATTCTTATACGGAAAACCGCTCATCATTATGTTTTATTAAGGATTAAAGTATGATCATATAAATTCGTTTGTAAGCAAAAGAAATTAATTTTGAAATCGGAAACCGTATTAAATAAGTAATATATAACAAATATCACCTCTTTGTTGAATATTTACGATGATCCAATCATCTTTAGGAATATTAGCAATTCTTAACTCTTCTTGATCTTTCTCCATCCACATGGTTGGTGCTGTTGACGTGAAATCGGGGTTCGACTTTGTGGCGTAATTTATTGGAATTCTCCACGTATTTCCTGCTGAAGAAGGTTTATTCGGTTCTTGTTTTATAACAATATCATCAGTTTCATTATCTCTTGTTACTTTTAATATTGGATAACCAGTTTGTTTGATCCATGGTTCCATAGTGCTTTTTATATTTAGTTTTTTATCTTTGTATTTTTTATCATGAGCTTCTTGTAGTGCATCCCAAAGGTTATTGGTAACCACGGCTTTAAATTGACTGAAATAAAGCATGCCCAAGTATTTTTCGGAAATATTAAGCTGTGATTATATGTACTCGAAACTTACTGTTTTTTTAAATAGTTTTGGATTCCTTCACGGAAAACTTCTTCTCCAAGGATATGTTCGATCATATGCACAACAGCAGCACCTTTGTTGTAAGTAACTGGGCCAAACGCTTGTTCAATTTCTATCTTTGTAGTGGGATTGAACTTTATTGGCTTGCCTGATCCACGTAAACGAATTTCAGCAGGAAATGCATATTCATTGTTGTGTTCAACTACAAAATAATCCATTACTCTCCAATGAGGAAAAATCTGTAAAAAGTTTATTTGTCAATTTCTTATGGGTCAATTAAATATTGGTTGATGCTTGATGATTATAGCCCATAAGGGAATTACTAACGATAAAAATAAAACTTAAATCACCTGATCTAATACTTTATATTGAAAATATGCCGCAAACGCTTCATTCGGCCACACATCATCCCACCATACTGGACTGACTAAGTTTCCAAACCACTGATGAGCCAATTCATGAGCCACCAAAAATGCAATTTTGTCTTTTTTTTCATTATTTGGCATCAATGTAGTATTACGTAATAATACTGAATACGTTCTGTAAAAATCTATTGAGTTTATCTGTTGAACAATCGTCCCTCACAAAGGGAAAACTCCAAAAATAATAAGTTACTTACATATAACTCACAAGTCCCCAGTGTTCCATAGCAACTGCACCATACTCAGGAACTGTGATCTGATCAAGTTTTGGCATTGCATACGGCATATTAGTATAAGCTTCTAAGGCAGGAATAGTTTTTTCACTTATTTCCAAAGCGTATTTTACTAATTCCAAATCTTTTTCCATTGTATAAAATGTAATATTTCCATTTTCATTCTTAATTGCTTTGTAATCAGCGATCAAAATGCATGGAAGATATGGCGACATTTTTACAGATCTTTCAAAGTGAGTTAAAACTTTACCATCCGGCATTTTTTCTTGACTTTTTACTGGCATGTTTGCCAGTGCTGTATAATTTGGAAAATGCTTAACTGACATTTCGAATTCTGCTTTTAAGCCTGGTTCGTCCCAACATGGAAAAGTATTTCGAGCTCCTGATGGTTCAAAGTGAGTAGTAACTATGTAACTGGAAAAAACTCCATATCAATTTTAATCCTGTGAAAATCATAATACAAATATTTTATATATACTTATTTACCTAGTTTCTCCATTTTCTCCTTTATTTTCGGCTCGATAAAATCCTGTGTAAGGATCAAACCAATCTTCAGACGAGTCAACTCCCGACCATTTCATATTTAATGTGTAGTTTCCAATTGGTAATTTGTTTTCGAATTTCATGGTATAAAATTCATTTTGAGCTTCCCAGGTTTGTTTTAATGGCTTTTCAATTTTACCATCTGAATGTATGAGCTCTGTAGCATCGCCTTGAATATCTAGTTTATTAGATTTGTGTAAAGTAACACTGGTAGTTGGATGAAGTACTTCAAAAATAATAGAACACTTTCCGGTAAATGTAAACTTGTCACCCAAAAAATCCGGATCTAATTCTATCATGTACACTCTCGGTACTGTATTGCGAGATAAACGATATTTTGATTCTATTGTTGGCACAGACTTTTTTAGGAACTTCGCTAATTTCTTATGGTTTATATTATTATCATTTCCAGGTCCAGTTACTGGTTTTGCTGATGTTGTATACAGTAACAAAGCCGAAAGTATTAACGTTTTTATCCACATTTTAAGAATCTATTTTTGAATATTATGCAATAAAATATGTAAATACATGTATGACCACCAGTTTGTATAAGTAGCTAACATATGATAGGATTTATAAATGAATCTTAGTTTTATACTCTCTGAAGAACCTTGATTCAAATTCTATTGTCTATTTATGGATATGTGAAAAACAGGATATTGGTGGGAATTTATTAATACGAGTTGTTATAGATATCGTATGATTCAGTTCACATAGCTCAACAACGATGTTATATGCATTAATGAATTATTGAAAAAACATTCATATTAAGATGACTCTAGTGACACAGATTTTTATTCGAATATTTACTGAATTATCAAACATGAACGGAATTTCTTTCAACATTTCTAAAGTAAAAATTACTTTAAGCACGTTAAGCAATCATCGGTGGGAAAAAAAAGTCATGGGGTTCGCGTTACCAAAACACGCATCACCGATGCCGGGTTGCATCGAAAATATATATATGTACATGAATGTAGTATCTACTTTGCATCTTATTTATAACATTTTTGAGGAAATTGAAATAAATGAAAATTATGGGTCTAGGCTTAGTGAGTGCTCTAACGACGAACTTCTCCATAATTGAAGTTCGTAATTTTGTCATATTTTAGTTTATTTGTTAAAAAAAAATTTCTGTTGCTTTAAACATCATACAATTATTTAATCGAATAAAGTTATTTACAACAATATCATATTGATATTAATTGAATATAATGATAGTAATGATAATTCAAACCATGAAATAAAAACCATCCCTAGTAGCCAAGATCTGTCGTCAGAATTGTCGACAAACTTACGTACGTCTGTTTCCTTTCTGCGGTAGCATCTGACGTCTGACGTTGATCTTACGTTGATCTGACATTAGGAAACCAAAAGACAGCAACATATGTAAGTCTGACGGCAGTCTGTTTCCTAATGGCTACAAGGGATTTTTGTATATAGTCGATATTTGCTTTTTTTCCGAAAAAATTTCGACATCAAAAATATGGGAATCCGCTTTTTTCCTGAAAAAATATTGAAATACAAAACATGCTATCAACAGAAATTGTCGACAGTGGAGTGCAGGATTATTATTATTATGTACATGGAAAGACTATTTTTATATTTAAATGAAAATTGTTTTTTTTCTTCAAAAATATTTATATTATTATTTTCATAAAAAAACCTTAGAACTTAAATCACAAATAAACGAAAATATAAAGTATTTTTTGTTCTAATTAATAAAAAAAAAATAAACTTAAAACTTCAGCATAACATTTTATCGATTATTTTTAAAGTAAAACCTTCGACAGATTAAAAAAAGATTATCATAAGTTAGCTGAAGGTGTATATTGTAAAATACAAGCGTGGAACAAAGCACAAACACAAAAAAAGTCATAACAATTGCGTTTTTTCATCGACCGCGATTGACGATAAGTTATCTTCAGTGATAATATCGACTTCGATTGGCGATAAGTCAGCAACAGCAATTTTTTACTGACTTCGATTGGCGAGAAGTTATTATCAGCCATAATACCGATCTCAATTGGCGGTAAGTTATCAACAGCGGTAATATCGACCTCGATTGGCGATAAATTATCATCAGCGATAATATCGATTTTTTTCACCGACTGCGATCAAAGTTTAATTATTAGCTAAAAAATAATTATTTGGAATTGAAATATTTTTAGCATCTTGTTGTGTCAGTAGAACAAACAGTACTTGAAGCAATTTTACGAAATTTTTATTAATGTATTTTTAATTCAAAATATTTATCATTCTTCTTAATTTGTGCTACCGATTTTTTCTGAAAATGAATGAAAACGGTGATTTTTTTTGTGCACACAATTTATCGATAGCAACAAACAAATTACATTTGCTAAATATATAATAATAACATAATCATCAAAATATAATGTATAATTTTTTTTCCAATATATTATATTAGTTTTCTCTGATGATTCGAACTCCAGTCGAACATCAACTGGTTCTGATTTTAAGGATTTGTTTTATTTAGTACAGTCGATTACTACAAGTAGTGCTATATCAGTGAATTTTCTTTTCGTGAGCAGGGGTTCTGCTTCTTTATCATAATATGTTGTTTGAAAATCTTTATACATATCATATAATAAGGCACATTGATTGTGACTTATGTCAAGATTCATGTTACCATATGGATAGCATTGTGGATTGAGGAAAAGTTTTACATCCCTTAAATCATAACGATCAGTGTGCAGTTTGAAATCCTAATATAACATAGCGGGGCTTTTCTAGTTGAGTTGATGTCTTTACGACCCATGCATGTTTGGTTGTATTCGGCAGCATTGGATATTCATATAATTCCCACACATCAAAGTATCTATTATCATTAAATAATCTTTCATTTTCAGTTACCCAACTTGTATTATCTAAATAATTTTTTGACCTGGATGAAGAGATAGATATCCTTTCATGAGACTTGTAAGACCAACATTTTTATTTCGATCAATCTCAACACTATTCAATCGTATTTTTTCAAATAAATAGCATACAGTCATACTAACGAAACTTGATGTTGCTGCTACAGCATTTCCGTTAGATTTTGTAAATTTTCCCGTAATATGAAGGGAACTTTTGCTTGGCAACAGACACAAATCTTGATGTTAAACTGAGATATGTATCTCATCACTATCATTATATGATGTAGATGCATACGGTTGATGAGCATGCACCTTAATGTGTGCAATAGACTCATCAAATATGACACCTTTGCTGATTGCTAATTTTTCTTCTTCCATGGTAAAAGACATACAAGACAGCACACTTTCACTTTAATTTTATTGCACTTTTGAGTATTTTTAGTCCCAGACTTTGCAGGAATAATCGATTTTGATTAGTTAATCGTTTGAGTTTTCTTCGATGACTGATGGGATTCAGACCGTCTTGATCAACAATGCGCAGTTGTAAATTATGTATTGTCTGTACGGTGATTGGAAGATAAATGATGTTTAATGGAACTTCAATGATCTTATATCCTGGTGAAACTGATAAGAAAAATTCGTGAATCGTATGTACCAACTGATTATTCATGTATGCTCCTGTAGTGATATTACATTTAATCCTTAATGCCTTAATTTTCAAGATAGACACTGGTAAATCTGATGTATGGGTCAATTTTGGAAAAATAACTCGTGGACTAAAGCCCAACAAACTACCAATAGAATCATGCGGTTTGAAATTTATTGTTGCATTTCTACTGTAAACTTCACTGCGTAGTTGATTATTATTGGGCTTAACAGAAATTGATACTTGAGTATCAGCTTTTTTCAAATAATTTTCAATGTCTTCAATTTCATAGCTTCCTGTGGGTATTTCAATACTTTTATCTTCACCATTGAGTGTGTAATAAAATTTATTGTTGCCGTTATCAATATTTGGAATGGAATTGAAGGTTTACAATTCCACAAGTCCTAAGGTATATTTTTTAGATGATGGTTATTCAATTAGTAGAAAACAAAACGCTTCTAGAATGGACGTTTGTTCAGACAATGTTAACGTGAGTAAATCATCCATGTTTGATACTTATTGGAAAGTGCATATGCCTTGCATACTTTTCCCCGTAAAAATTTTAAACACAAGTGTCCACAATTATCTGAACTGTAATATTAATGTTTTTCATGATGATACAGTATTTTATCAACATCAAGATACTTCATAAGCTCATGTGGTGGCTGCAAATTGCCAAAACTGTCATAATATATAACTTTATTACCACGTTTTTTATATGCCACCTAATGTGTTTCAGGTCCAGTTTTATCATCGAGATTAATAATTGCTGATTCATTTTTACACAGTGTAGATTTAGGAAGATCATTTCGCAGAAAAACACCACGAAAAAAGGGTACTTTCATGATTTTTAATTTCCGAATATTTATTTGTATTCAAAATTATTTAACCAACCTGAATATCAGTTTTTAAGAAAAATAATTGAATCAATTGAAGGTATTAAATTTTATGCTTTTAATAAGCATCAGGAAGTGGTAAAACCGGATGCAGCAAAACCCAACTCAATTATGATTTTCGATGATGTAGCATGCGAAAAACAGGATAATATGCGAACCTTTTTTTTGTATGGAACGACATAGAGATATTAACTGCTTCTATCTTTGTCAAACTTATGCACGAATCCCAAAACATTCAGTACGTGATAATACAAACTTTCTTGTACTTTTTAGACAAAATGACATGAATATAAAACACATTTACGACGATCATATAAATACTGACATGACTTATTCTCATTTCCGAGATATATGTTCAATGTGTTGGAATAATGATAAATATGGCTTCTTGGTAATTGATAAAGACAGTGATCTGAATAATGGGCGATAAAAAAGAAGATTTGATTGCTTCATAAGTATAAATTCACCGTGAATACATTAAACTGTACATTATTCAATTGATTGTCAAAGTGTCAACATGAAAACTATGAAGCTGCAACAAGAGGAGAAAATATTCCATCAAATAGCAAAAGTTAGTGATGCAATATGTCAAAAGCATAAGTTGATTAAACTTGGAAAAGATATAACTAAACAAACTATAAGTGAAATATTTAAACCTATGGTGACTCTTCTTGAACAATTAGTTGATAAAACATTCATTAAAGAGGATCCTCAGGAAATAAAGAAAGAAGAACCTAAAGAAGAAGTTGAAAGCGAACAAGAAAGTCCCACACCTGATTATGAAAGAACTGATGATGAATCTTATACAACAGCAACAATTATCCGTCAAAGTACTCTCATTAAAGACACACCTGTAGTAAGGTATTTAAAGATGTTCGATTCTAAGCTCACGTCCAAAGACTTAGATACAAAGTATGGCATAAGAAAGTTAAAAGGTAATCGACTGATGATGGGTGATTCTGAAGTCAGGTTCGACAATAATTTTATTTATATTGGTGATAAAGAATACAATACTACTTCGGGTTTAGTAAAATTATTATTTAAGAATTCACCTGATCAATCAAAAATAACAAAAGAAGATGAAAACATGTATGGCAGAATTCTCAGTATGACAAACGCCTATCGGAAGCATTAT